TAAATATAATATTAAAAACTCCAATAAAAAGAAGGTAAATAATTTAAAAATTTTAAATTAAAAATTCTAGCTCTGCCCGAACCGATTAGTGACCTAAAATACTAATTGGTGTTGTCTTGCCATTAGTCACCTAAAATACTACTTGGTGTTGTCTTGCCATCTAATTAACTGACTCTCTTTTTTGTTTTGTGTCAGTTTTTCAATGTCAGTATCTATCAATGAAACTTTTTTGAAATCATAACTACCCATTTTGGCATCAATTGGACTTTTTGGAAAAAAAAATAATAATATAAAATTTACTACCACTATCCATAATTGACCTCAAGTGGAAACTCTTGGTGGTGGAATTTCTCAAGACAAAATCACTACAACTACCCATTAGTGTCATCTGTGTGAAAGTTGAAAGAGTATATTTGAAAATTGAATTATATTTAAATGTGCATTTAGCTTGAATTTTTGAGTATTGAAAAGAATTTTCAAGAAAAACAGGTTAAAATAGTGTTTTATCGAATGTAAGTGTTTATTTGAAAAAATAATAATTAAGCAGATCTAACTAACTAACAAAACCACCAAGTATAATGATTTCTCATGTCGTTCCGCCCATATATAACCATGAACTTTTTTATTTTTTACAAAAAAAATAAAATAAATTTGAATAGAGAAAGGGATCCTAAGAAACATATAACATGGACAAAAGGAAATCCCTTTGTACCACATAACTATAGTACCATAATATGAGTAATTTCCAGACCATTGGCTGTCCTTTTGCCTTCTTAAATAAGTTAATTTGTTTAATAATACCTTTGTTTGTTCTCTTTTGTCCTTTTTCTCAATTTATTATCCATTGAAAATTACTCCATCTTTTGGCATAAAATTAATTTCATGAAGACTCTTGGTGGAGAACTCTCTTTAAATTTGTTGACTTCTTTTACTTATTTTATCACATACATATATACATCATACACCAAAAGACAAACTTTCACTCAATTAATAATTAGTTGAAATGCACTATCCAAATCAACCTACCTAAAAGATATTTTTTAAATAATTATATGGTAATAATAATATGATATAAAAAATTTACTTGTTCAATTAATTCAGATTTTTATTATATGTTAAAATATTCTCAATTAATTCAAGTTTTTCTTTTTTAGAATTCAAAATCACGATAAAGTTATAGGTTATCTGACTATTGAGGAAATATTAAATGATATGACATAATATTATGTATAGTCCTTTTCTTTTAAATTGTCAAAATAGAAATTCAAGAATTTGGTGCATAAGGAGAAGAAAGTCCATGTGTGTGTAAAATACAAATGTGTACACCTTGAAGTAGTATAGAACACTTGCATAGGGTAAGTCCACAATAATCCTACAACTTTACTCTACAAAAATAGAATTTCTAAAAAGTAAGGTTTATACACAATTCAATTTTGTATATTTTGGAAAAAGAATTTCCATGTTTTCCAATTAGTAAGTCCACCATGTTGTTCCTATTATCAAGTACATCATGTTGCTAATACAACTCAACCAAAGGAGAACTTAAAATTTGAAGATAGATAAGTACATCATGAATGACTAATCACATTAGTTAAAGTGTCACGAAATACCATTTTGTGCGATAATTTTATCAAACATAGAAATATTTAAGGTATTTATAAAAATATTACTCTACTAACAAGACGACTTTGATCGCAATGTTTGCTGGGTGGAGTTGTGGTATTCAACTCTACTTTGCACCATGAGATCATTCAAAATCATGTAACTGTCTTTATCCACATTTTTATATTTAAAAACAATGAAAAAATATATATTTATATCTCAAGAGATATATACATAATTTTTCCAAAGTTAACGAGTGTCTCACACCCATACCCTTCGCCATAGGTCCGCCTTTGCACCTTATAAGAGCAACAAAAACAAACATAGTAAATAGGTGAATAAAATAGAATTGGGAACAAAAATAAGTCACAAAAATATAAAAGTAACTAAAATAAGCCACCATTTTAGTAAGTAACTAAAATAAGCTTAGTGGAAGAAAAAGTTCCACTATATCCAATTTTCTAAACGTTTCCGTTACTGTCATAACATTTATTTTAATATATAAAGGAACTTTTTCTTCCACTTTATAAAGTGGAACTTTTTATTCCACTTTATAAAGTGAAAGAAAATCTTCCGCTTTATAAAAAGTTACCTTTTCATTTTCACCTTCACCTTCTCTCCTTTTTTTTTCATGGCTTCCAAAAAAAATCACTTTGAAGATGATCATCTGCATCAAAAATTCATTTAAAAAAAATAAGTGTTAGACATAGCGATAGTCATCTGCATCAAAAGTAGGCGAGACATGAAAATTTGAGGATGTCCCAATATTGTTCGTCATTTCTAAGTGTGAGGACTGACCAAAATAATTATTTAGTTCATAACTTGGAGCATTATTCCTATCTTGCTAAGGTAAACCGCTACAAAATATATAATAATAAGAATAATAAATAATATAAATTAATAAATAATTGACAAAATCAACAAACAATAACTGAAATATATTAATTGAGCATTACCGATCACTATCATTGGTAGTTTTGTTTAAATCAAAATCATATCGGCCGGTAAGAGTATTTTGATAATGAGTCATTTTTGGAAAATCAGTAAATTGAGTTATCGAAAATCCATCAATGCTATTATGATTTTCTAATTAGGGATGAACATCGACCGATAAAGGAGAACATTGTTGACTAATCTTAGGCTCCTTCCTAACAGATATTCCAAGTATTGTTGACTTGATTTGATCTATACAGTCATTTGGAACCCTTAAAAAGTCGGTCAACGATTCGTCATTATATATAATTCACTCTCTAAAATTTACTTGTCCTTGTGATAAAAATGAAGTAGGGTATTTTCCGGCTATAATCAAATTATAATCGTACTGTTTATACCCATTCTTTTATAAATTGATAAAATAAATTTATGATATCAGACATTTATTGGATATTTAGCATTGTGTTTGGGAGGACAATTATAATAAATGATATTTCCGTCATGTATAATTTCGCCATCCCAATAAACTGAAACTTTAACTTTACGTGTAGAAGATATTTTTTTTAGATTGAAATGAACAAATATAGAAGACTTTATGTTGTAGGTGCTATCAACTATGCATAAACGTCCTTAAATAGATTTTTCAGAATAAAATAATAAAAATACATAATGAAATATTTTTTTTCGTTTTAATGACATATCAAATCAATATAATTTATATGACAACACTGAAAAAACTTCTTCAAGACGTGAAAAATATTCTTCTTATAAAGTGTAATAAAAAGTTCCACTTTATAAAATGGAATAAAAGTTCCACTTTATAAAGTGGAAGAAAAAACTCCACTTTATAAAGTATAAGAAAAAGTTCCGTTATATATTAAAAATAAACGTTATGAAACTAATGGAAAACGTTTAAATTATTGGATATAGTGAACTTTTTCTTCCATTAAGCTTATTTTAGTTACTTAATAAAATAGTGACTTATTTTGATTACTTTTATATTTTTGTGGCTTATTTTGATTCACGACTCAATAAAATATAAGAGCAACAAAAACAAACATAGTAAATAGGTGAATAAAATATAAAAGAACTTTAATACATTATTTATCCTAATCAAATTCTAACCAATCATAAGAATGATTTCATCATACGTTACTTTCACCTGACATACCAAATGTGTGCTCAATTTATATGATGGAGCCTTGCACACCTAATCCTCTATGTGTGATATAATTATTTGGTTATGTCCTAAAATAGTTAGCATAATTGAATAATTATATTTAAATAACAAAAAAGAACCAAACCGAAAACTTATTCTAATTCAAAGTAAATTGTACTACTTTTGTAAAACCAAAAAACACGATCAATATATATTCAAATCGAATAATTCAGTACCTACCCTCAGCTATATGAACTTATCCTAAGAGCAAGGGAACTCATAATATCCCTCCTAATTAAGCTCAAAAAATTTATGTTTTCGTTTTAATTTGTTTAAAAATATATTTCAACTTTTAATTTTCACATGATAATTAACATGCTTAACATTACAAAATTAAAGAACATTTTATAATATTCAATATATTTTTTTTAAAAAAATAATTTTATGTCACATTAAAATCATACAAACAAATTAAAACGAGTAATCTACCCATCACAATCACACATCTTTGCCCAATCATTGACTTACCTCTTAGTAATTCCTTTTGACAACTTCAACACACAATTCTTTTTTCTAACTGCTATTTTAAACCCCACATTCACACTGCAAAAAGTAACACTACCATTTCTGCAGAAAACAAAAAAGAAAAAAGAAAGATGAATAGATATTCAAGAATCAACAGTAAAGCCAAAAGCAACAGAAAATCAGTAGCTATAGATTTTTCTGATCATCTTTCTCTTTCAATATCTGAAACCCCACAAATAATATCTAAACCGCATGAAGAAAAAAGCAACAAAAATCATGAGACCATTATAAATGGGGAAGAAGGGGATGGAGAGATGTTTGGAGTTATCTTAGAAAGAAGTCGCTCTGTTTCATCATATAAATCCATGACGGAGAAAGAGAGAAGTAGTGTTCCCATGAAGAGATCATCTTCAGTTTCGTCTTCGTCTGCAGGAGGTAGAGGAGGATATTGCAGAATTCATCATCAAAATGATAATCCTCATGAAAAAACAGAGAATTTTAATGCTCACAAGGAGAAAGGGAACAAGATTCTAAGAGCTTGCATCAAATTGCTTCGATTTAGATGAATTAGTGTTGCTTTTCATGACTTTTATTTTGTTAACCCCTCTGTTTTAAAATCTTTAATGTCTTCATATCTGTTTCAAGTGTAAAATGATTGTGAATGTGTGACCAGTTTCCTACTTGGGAAGAACTGTTCACACTCTTCTTCTTACTTATTATAATATATATTTACACAATGAGCTATGATCAGATGAATGAAATTTTACAGTTTCAGAATCAATAATGGAAAATCTTGCTTCAATTATTGAAATAAGTTTAGTTACAGAGCAATTGATTTCGCAATTACTCAGAGATTTTAGAGCATAACTGTACTTCTGTAGACAAGATTGGTTTGAAAAAGCTATTCTTCAACTTCGTTACACTTGCAGTAAACTAGCCACACATACAATCCTCCCAAATTTACACGAAATATTTACCATGGGTGTTGTTTTGCTAAAAGAAATTTGATACATCGATGGATTCTTAATTGCTTTCGCTGAAGTCTGCATCGATAACTTCTCCATCTCCATCATCTTTACCGGTGGAACCAGATGATCCAGTTGTACCAGCACCAGGAGAAGGACCAGAACCGGCAGGACCTGGCTGGCTGTACAGAGACTGTCCCAGCTGCATTACTTCTTGGTTCAATGCAGCCATCGCGACCTTAATGGTTTGAGTAGAATCACCGGAAATGGCATCCTTGAGCTCTTTCAGTTTGGATTCCACTTTGTTTTTTACGTCAGCAGGCACCTTATCTCCCAACTCTTTAAGCTGCTTCTCGGTTTGGTATACGACAGATTCTGCTTGATTCTTCGCGTCTATGGCTTCTCTCTTCTCCTTGTCCTCTCTAGCAAACTTCTCAGCTTCTTGAACCATTCTATCAACCTGAAATTCCATTTCATTGAAAGTAACATCAGTGAGAAATGTATCATAGGATTAAATACAAATACATCCGGGATTAATATTTCACAGTCCGTAACATGCAACTTAAATCCACTTGAACAATTGTGCAATACTTGATAGGACGCAAGGAAAGATCAGCGGATGTAAGTTGATAAAACACCGATCTTAAAAGAACATCCTCTATTCAGCAAGGGAAACAACAGATCTAACGAGTGTACCTCATCTTTGGGCAAAGTGCTAGCACCAGTTATAGTAATGTCCTGCTTCTTTCCTGTACCCTTATCAGTAGCCGTGACAGAAAGAATACCGTTGGTGTCAATGTCGAACTTCACTTCAATCTGGGGAACACCCCTGGGAGCTGGAGGGATTCCATCCAGGCGGAACCTTCCAATAGACTTGTTATCTTTTACAAACTCTCTTTCACCTTGCAGCACATTAATCTCAACACTAGTTTGCCCATCTGCTGCAGTTGAAAAAACTTCTGATTTTGAAGTTGGTAGTGTTGTATTTCTTGGGATAATTTTGGTCATGACTCCACCCAGAGTTTCCAGACCAAGTGACAGTGGAGTTACATCTAATAACACGATGTCACTAACATCTCCAGCCAAGATACCAGCCTGAGAATATAAAGGAGAATAACGTAACCGGATCACAATATTGCACCAGTATAATTACTGCACGAAATCTTAAGACAAAAGATGATTTGAAGAGATAGAGAGGTGAAAGACACAAACCTGAACTGAAGCTCCAAGAGCAACCACTTCATCAGGATTGACAGAAACATTAGGCTCTTTACCAGTCATCTTGCGGACAAGGTTTTGAACAGCCGGTATTCGTGTTGATCCACCAACAAGAACTACTTCATCAATATCTTTGAAGGAAAGGCTGGCATCCTTCAAGGCAGTTTCAACTGGTGTCTTAAGCCTGTTAAGACAAATTCAATCGGAGTCATCAAGTCAGAAGGACAAACAGCGAAATCTTTCGGAACAAGATGATTACATCGGTTTACAGAAGCAAGATCATCTCAAAATCTAAGCTATAGCACAGCTGAAACCAATATTTTCATATCGACACCCCCATACTAAACAAGTAATTTTTTTGTGAACAAAATTGGTACCTGTCCAATAAGTCTGAGCATAACTCCTCAAACTTGGCCCTTGTAAATGTTGTGTCAATATGTTTCGGACCATCTGCAGTAGCAGTGATGAATGGCAAACTGCACAAAAAGGAAAGGTACATTCAATTAAAGCTTGTTATAGCAAAAGCAGCAGTTTCACCCTCCATTTTTTCCAGAAGGAAAGGGGTAGCAAAGGAGAAAGAACCAGATAGTAACTGAGATACCTGATATTAGTTTGAGTCAAGGTTGACAATTCTATCTTTGCCTTCTCAGCAGCTTCAGTAAGACGTTGAAGCGCTTGTTTGTCTTTAAGAAGCTCTATTCCTTCTTCTTTCCTAAAAGTATCAGCAAGCCAGTCCACAATTCTCTGTTTGATAGAAAAAAAGTGTAAGCATTGTACAGAAGAAGCCCCAAAACAAGGAAAAATTAAACAAGATGCATGCAAGCAAAGAGAAGGTACTGATGATTTAATACCTTATCAAAATCATCACCTCCCAAGTGTGTGTCCCCTGAGGTAGAAAGTACCTCAAATACTCCATCTCCAACCTCAAGAACTGCATCATAGAAGTCGATATATGAGTTAGTGTAGATGCAAAGGCACATTTAAAGCTAGAATTCTACCCACGAGACTTCATATCACTGCTTTTTCTTCCATCCATATTGTTGATGTTCTATGTTGAAATACATAAGTAAAAACATTAATGTATCAGCTGTCACAGCATAGACGACAGAGGTAATAGAATTATGCTCAAGTTTATAATACAACCCAAAACCCAGTACCAAGGAAGAGAACTCTGGAAAAACAAGATTCATATGATCAGGATGCAGCAGTAATCCTTTTTATTATTATGTTTATGTTAATAACAATAATCAACTAAACTATAAGTAAGAAGCACAGAGGCAGCATTGAGACTGAAGCCAGATCTTGCCTCGAATAGTCTTCTCATACCTGATACATCAAAAGTACCACCTCCTAGGTCAAAGACTAGAATGGTTTCATTACTCTTCTTCTCAAATCCATAAGCCAATGAAGCAGCAGTGGGCTCATTGATTATTCGGAGAACATCTAATCCGGCAATGCGACCTGCATCTTTTGTAGCAGTTCTCTGAGAGTCATTAAAGTATGCTGGTACTGTAACCACTGCTTTAGCAACTTTATCATTCAAGAATTTCGAGGCATCATCAACAAGCTTTCTCAAGACCTGAGAACCAGAAATTAAGCAATTCCTTTGAATAACAAGAAAATGAGCATCATAGTTTTCAAATATGCCTCATTGAAGGTTCAATTACTATTGAAACAGGTAAACACGAATACGTCTGATAACTCCATCCATCACAAATAAGTAACCATACTTGCTTAATAATCATACCAACTTTCAATTGTTCAGTTAAACAAATCAAAATTTAACAGATAATTTAACTAAGAGATGAAAGATAATAAAACCCACAATAGCTAGCTTCAACTCATCAGTGATTCCCCATTCATATTATCAGTGTTGTCTACAGGAAGACTGCACCATTATCAGTTATAGCTCAAAACAACACAAATTGTATGGTTAGTCACAGTGGCACAACCAAGATATGATTTCTCATAAACAGTACAGAAATAGCACTCGTCCGTTTCAATTTGTTTGTTTCATTTTGACTACACAAAATTTTAAAAAATAAGGAAGACTTGTGAATTGTCATCTTAAACACAAACACTATAACAAAATTTCAAACTTGATAATCAAGAAAACAGAGTAACCAAAAACAGTCGAGCATCAAGCAAGAACTCAACCTAATTTTACCTCCTAAGTTGAAAACCCCCATTAATTCCAAGTTCAATATTGCAGTGAAATTTATAAGTAGGAGATAAATTCACCATTAAAATGGGACAGCCATACATACCTGAGCAGAAATTTCCTCAGGAGCAAACTGTTTACCAATAGCAGGACACTCAAGTTTGACGTTCCCATTCTCATCCTTCATCACTCTATAAGATACTTGTTTCGACTCTTCATCAACCTCCGCCATTTTCCTCCCTATAAACCTCTTCACTGAGAAGAAAGTGTTCTCCGGATTCACCACCGATTGCCTTTTGGCTATCTGCCCAACTAATCTATCTCCATTCTTCGTATATGCCACTACAGACGGCGTCGTTCTTTGCCCCTCCGCATTTGTCACTATTGTCGGTTTCCCACCTTCCATTACTGCCACCGCTGAATTCGTCGTCCCCAAATCTATCCCCACCACCTTCTCGTTCACTACTTTCATGGGTCTGAACCTTTGCCTCACCGCCTTGTCACTGTAACATTTCTTCCGTGATGCAAAACTAATTCTCCCTCCCGAAAATGGGGTTCTGTTGTCCAGCTTATGCCCGGAAAATGGGATTTTCACTTGGTGGGTTGCTGACGAAGCCATTTTTGAACTGAAAAAATTGATTTGGTTTAGTGAGTGAAAGTGAAATACTGAAATGATCGACAATTCTTGTTGTTGTTGAAACTCTGCAAGTGAGAGAGGGATGTATATAGAGAAAGGATATTGGTAAAGGACAATTCTAGAAGGGTCTAGGGAATCAAGATTTTGTTGTTTTGGAGTATTATATATACTGTAAAAGGCGATAGATAAAGAGAAAGTCACTGTCTTGGTTATGGGGTTTTCATGAGAAAATGATTAGAAGGAAAATTGTGGGAAACTCCAGGAGCTTCTGGTGAAGACAACACAAACTTCTTTTTGGCGTTTTTCCCCTACGGGGTGATTTGTCAAAAAATTGACTTAATTTTTACCAAGTCCAAAATAAAAGTTTTTGGCAAAAACAATTCTATAACCCAAAAACTAGAAAAAAATTTTAATAATATTTGGGGCCAAATCTAGTTTTCGAGTTCTTTTCTTACCATTTTTTTTAAAAATATTTTTTTAATAAAAAGAGTTGCTAATAATTTATGTTATATATAAATATAAAAAAAAAATGTGGGCGTGGGTCGTGGGTCGAGACGTTTTTATGTCATATGAGTTGAGGTAATTTTTTTTTTAAAAAAAGAGTCAAGGTGAAAGCTTCGAGACACAACGAAATTTAGAAATTTGAATTGATTCGGGTTGATGTCATCCCATCATAGCGGAAAGACTCATGTTATAGCGACACCTCTATAGCGTATGTATGACCTCTATAGTGGGGCTGACGAGATCATACCCTAGAAACGCAAATTCTTTTATTTTTCTTTCACTTTTCATTATTATAAAAATAGACGAGGGTTACTCTAAGAAAACCTTAAGCAGCTCTAACCTCTAAAACTATGGACTAAAGGAGAGAGACTTCAACGCAAGAAGAGTTAAAATCCACAAATTTTCAGTCTACGTTGGCTAGGATTCTCCCCCATAGAGTCAGGTGTTCTGAAGTCTTCAATGGTTGCTTGACATCCATATAGAATAGTTTTTTTAGTTGAGTAATTAGACTTGTCTTTACCTATATCATATTTCGTGGATCGTCATATATTACATGTATAAGCTTCCATGCACGACATTTGAAAGGTTGAATATGTTGTTAGTTGTGGTTTAGATTGAGGATATATTTGCTTAATTCTTGTTGATCTTATGAATTATGACGATTAATGGGCATTATCCTGAGAAAGTTTATCATGGGTAATCACACTATGATCAGGAAATGTTCGGGAAAGAATCGAATAATTGATGGTTGTTTGTTTTCCATTATTTTGTATGTTCTTGTCAACTGCTTCATTAGTATTGTATGCATGATATATAATTAGAGAAAAATAAGTGTTTGATTTGAAATATTATAAGTTGCAATCGCATGCAATGAATGTGTTTACTTAGATGTAAAAATATGCTTGCCATTCATTTTGTTTGTGATGTGTGATTGATGGTTGGTTCGGATACCATGATTGGTACATGATATGTCACGTTTTTCTTGGGTATCACACAGAATAAACACTAACAGTTGACACATATACCACGCCTGATACATGAATATTCATATATGATTGGCTCGGGTATCACACTGATACATACTAACGGTTCATAAGGGCACCACACCTAGTACACTAACAATTTATATGTGAATTTCACGAAAGAATCGAGTTTAGTTTTTTGTAACATGATTATAACATGTTTGTTCTGTGAGTAGACCAAATTTATTGATTGTGTTATATTTGTCACATATTGGTCCTTGAGGGATTGTATTATTATATTTAAATGATGGGGTGATGGTTCATGTATAAACCAAAATTACATACTAAAAATTGTACTGATATTTTAGAGATTCTTGGTGATGTGAGTTACCCACAAAGTGTGATGAATTTTGTTAAGGTGATTGTTACATTCTAAACATGTCTAGGGTGGTGGTTGAGTCAAAGTGGTTAGTGATAGTCTTGCAGATGATTTAGTAAATTCGTCAAGGATCACGGTGTTGACATAGAAATTTGTGGGAGAGTAGTCGATTGGTTGATAGAGTTTGAAATGGTCTAATATTCGAGGAATCTCTATGTAATAAAATGGTTTAATAATGATCGCATGAGGATGAAATGTCTAAATAATGGAGTTGGCAGTGGAAGGAAGTGGGTTGATAAAGCGTATGAGTTACAAGGTAATTTTACTTGGAGTAATAGCGGCGATAATTGAGAGGATCGGGGTCTTAATTTTATCTCTAAGTTGCATTAATTTTGTGGTCCCTATTGTCACAAACTTAGAGTTAAAACAAATGTTCAATGTGACACTTGACAACTTACTCACGAATCTTTCACGATCTTGTAAGCTTATGTAAGCCTTTAAGACTAAAATCACTAAGAGAATGAAAGGAAGACTTAGAAAGATTTGAGAACTTTGGAAGAAGACTTTTTACTACTTGGAAGATTGCTTACAACTTGGATGGATGATTTGCAAACGAGTGACACCTCTATTTATACTAACAATTAGGGGTTAAAGTATAATTTAAAATTACTTTATTAGTCCTTACGTATTTACTCTTTGGTCCCTTCTCTAGAAATTTCTACACTTTCTAGGAAATTCTAAGGCTTTTCTAGAAAATATCTAGTCCTTCTTCTAGAACTCTCCAAAGCCTTCTTGAAACATTTAGGGGCTTCTAAAGTTTTCTATAAACCACTCCAAAACTCTAGATTTTCCCCCTATCCAGATACTAAATCTTACTAAGAATTGACGGGACGTGACACTCTCCCCCACCTATTGATGCGACGACCGCGTCGCATGGCCGCTACATAGGCATCCGAATCTTGTGCATGCACAACCAATAATCTGTTGACTCGATCGATGCCCTTGTGAAACTTCCTCAGCGGCCTACTTATATCCAACTCGTTCTTATGATCTACCTCCTTCCTAGGAGGAAAGCGCCTCAGCGGCCCCTTTGGCATCACAACCTTGTTTTTTTCTCTTTAACCTTCTTTGTGTACGGTGGTAAGGACCCTTTAGTTCCATTATTTTCTTTCGAACTTGCAACAGTGGCTACAAATGTCGACTTCTCCTTCTTAGTTTTTTTTTGAGATGCATTGGGTACCTTAACCAGGGGCACCATGCATGATCCTCCTTTCTCCATGACCAAGAGTTGATGGAGGTACAAATCGATCACCGCGTGACATTGCTGGAAGAATTCTTGCGCAAGAATTATCTCAAAGATATCTAAAGGAATGACAATGAAGTTGGTCTTACCTTGTCACTCGCCTAGCATGATGCTTACTTCATGCGAACTCCATTCACGGGAGTCGATGGTGCGTTGACCGTCCTGAGTTGGGCGTAACTTGGATTGTAATTCAGTCCTAACATTGTCGTTGCCGTTTCGGTCATAATATTGGCCTCTGCACATGTGTCGACCATAACACGAGCAAATTTTCCATTGATCGTGATGTCGACATACTGCAAGCCGTATTCTCTCGGCTTTCTTGTTTCTTGGCGATAGCTCCGCATAGTCCTACCAAACCCAATTGCATCGTATCTACACCTTGTCCTTGCTCTTGTGCATCCTTCCCTTCATCTCTCACACGATAGCACAAAGTCTCTTCAATTCATGACACTTTGCATATCCATGCAACCCACTGCATCTATAGCAACCCTTCCTCTTTGTAGGCTCAGCCTTTTCCTCGACATCACTTTGATGTCCAAACTTCTCGCCACAGACCTATATATTATGCTTTTTGGAATGTGTACACTGCTCTTTAACTTTACCATAATCTCTCCCACCATGGTCATGACTACCTCTCCTCTCTTCTCCCCCCACTCTGTCAGGTTTCTCATGCCTAAAGTATGTCAAAGCTTCGAGTTTTGTGATGGCTTCATCTATAGTCCTGACCTGTCAGCGTTCTAACTCCGTCCTTGCCAAATTTTGCAACCCATCTATGAAATGTAACAACATATCTTCATCCGTGAAGTTAGGAATTTGAAGTGTGAGGTTAATGAACTCCTTCACGTATGCACGTATGTTTCCCATTTGTTCAACTCCCTTAACTTGTGCTTCGCCTCATAGATGACATTATTAGGGAAGACTGCATTCTTGAACTCCATTTGGAATTGCTCCCAAGTGTTGATGGTGAAAACTCCCTTCCCTATTTCCGACTCATTACGTCTCCAACACAACATGACCATCTCCAAATGATACAACACGACAGTGTTGATCTGTTCTCGTCGCTCTTCAGCAGACTACACTTGAAGTAATTCTCCAAGTGCCACAAGAAATTCTCCACCTCTTGCACGTCACAAACACCTTTGAACATAGGTGGCTTGGGAGCATCGACCTTGGTATCATGATCTCGGTCAAGCGACGATGATCCTCCAACTTCTACGCCCTCCTTGAGTGCTTTTGATCTCGGCCTTCATGGTCTCAATCGTGCTTAATGCCTCATGCCTCCATGAGTTGGCACTCCAAGGAAGTGATAGCCTCCTTCATCTCAAACTCCGCATGCTGGCGTCCCTCCAAAATCTTGCATAGGTTCTCGGTCTCCTCAAGGGTGAAATCCTCGAGATTCTTGAACTTGCTACCAGCTACGTTCAAAATCTGGCTACTATATCCACGGCCTGCTTCACCGTTTCAACCCTTGTGATCCACTTCTCTCCAGGTGTGACATTAATGGGTTTCTCGCCACGGTTATCGTCACTTGCTTCGGTGCTCGAAGGTGGGTGAGATGTTAGTGCCTCGCTTGGTGGAGGGTCGAGCAACATTTCCTCACTACTTCTTTGGTGCTTCTTTCCCTTGTGGTTCTCTTTTCCTCCATCGGACGGAGGTTGGTGGTGCTAGAGGCATTTACGTCTCCTTCGTTAGCCATTCCCTTAGTACAAACCTTTGCTCTGATACCATATTGTCACGGAACTAGAGTTCTAACGAATATTCTGTGCGACACTTGAAAACTTACTCACAAATCTTTCATGATCTTGTAAGCTCAAGTAAGCCTTTAGGACTAAGACCGATAAGAGAATGAAAGGAAGACTTACAAAGATTTGTGAACTTTGGAAGAAGACTTTTACTACTTGGAAGATTTCTTACAACTAGGATGGATGATTTACAAATGAGTGACACCTCTATTCATAATAACACCTAGAGGCTAAAGTGTAATCTAAAATTACTTTACAAATTCCTATATATTTACACTTTGGTCCCTTCTTTAGAAATCTCTACACTTTCTAGGAAATTCTAATGCTTTCCTAGAAAGTATCTAGTCCTTCTTTTGGAGCTCTCCAAAGTCTTCTTAAAATATTTAAGGGCTTCTAGAGTTTTCTATAAACCTCTCCATAAATCTAGACTTTTCCGCCCCTATCCGGATGCAACATCTTACTAAGAATTAGCAGGACGTGACATTATAGTGCACATATTTAATTAAAACTCAGAATCCTATTGCTAAAGGAAAAAGGGGAGACAAACGTGAGTTTTCTTATAAAAAGAAAACTAGCATGTATTTTTTTTAGAAATAAAAATAACGTGTATTTTGGTTCTCCTCTTTGGATTGGGAATATAGCTGTATAATAAAGATTATTTAACCATAGAAGATTGTTTAGTTTTCTACTCGATACTTGCCCACCCAAATATTGAGAGAGTTCGGATGTGAACTTGAGATCTTTGTAGAAGACCATAGTTGTTGTCTATCTTGTGGATTCACTTGAAGATCTGTCTAACTTAGAATTTATTTGAAGGTATATACTCGCACTTCAAGATGTATTTATCGAATTAAATTTTAGCAAGCTTATGTGTTTTAGCATAAACAATATTTGTTATCTATTATTCATGTAAGAAGTAAAGATTCCGGTATGCTTCTGATGTGCATATATGCTTTCTAACAAAGTGATGATGCCTACCAGTACATATTGTTTGTCACTTGGTATAAGCCTATTGCAGGATTAATGATGTTTCTTAGGTAAAGATGAATATGATCTCCAAAAACTTCTACTTCTCTTTCTTTATGGTGAGAGTTGTGTCATATTTATTTCATAATTTTATTCTCCCTTAGAAGTTTTTGTACCTTTTAAAACTAGTTCTTTGGGAGGGTTCAATGTATTTGTTTACAGAAGGACTTCACTTTAGATTAAAAAGTACTTTTATTTATATATAGGGTATTAGCTTATAATTCCTCACTTCTGCGATTAATATCCCAGGTCGGTGGTTAACGGTTCTCTTATCTAGGTGTTAGCGTAGGTCCCCATGCAACCTAATAGGTTGAGTCGGAACGATTTGGTATTAGAGTTTAGGTTACCAATATCATGATACAAGAGAAAATATCGAATAAAGTCCCGAGGATTGTTGTGTTGACATCCACATTTAATTTTCAGAACACTAGGAATTATTCTAATAAGATGTCTCATTTCTTCACTCCTTTCGTGTGGTCTGTCGCTTGTGATATGAGTTGAATTTATTTGGTATCTCTAAATTCCAATTGGTGTCTCAACAAAGTAAAATTAATGTCATTGTTGCGGCTGAAGGGACACAAGTAATAGAAGTTAGTAACTGACCTTAAAGGTCACTTAAATGCATTGACGAACGATTAGTTAAGTGATAATTCATGATGCAAACATAATGTAAAGAACTTGTAAAATTATTGATAAAGCTTGATGATTCTAATTGCATGGTATTGACAGAATGACTGAAATTATGTGCATATGATTGTCTGGACTTTTGTAATTCTGATAAATTCATAACTTGATTATATGCCATGGGTTGGTGATAAATTGCTATGTGATTAACTGAATATTTTTGTGTTAAGAATTGTGCATGGATTTATCGTGGTAAGAATGGTAATTAAATAATATAAATAGTGATCACAGGAAAACCCCAATTTTAGGACAGTCAAAATTAATCGAAAACCATTGGAAAAAGATTGTTTTGGTACGATAACAGAGATTAGGTATGATGAACGTGTTTTGGTATGATCCAATGCTATTTTTTTATGATTTTGTGCTGTTAAGTCTTAACCATGTGTTGTCGGGTATGATATTAGGGCTATATTCAGATTTTTGAGATGAAGTCAGTATTATGCATTTCTGAAAACGATTATGGAATTATTCAAAAATTTGTTTGCTTTGAATGGGATAATGCACAAGTACCCCTCAACCTATGCTTGAAATCTCAAAGACACACTTATACTATACTAAGGTCCTATTACCCCCTGAACTTATTTTTAAAATAATTTTCTTCCCCTTTTTGGCCTACGTGACACTATCTTGTGGGCCCAATGATGGTTGACCCACGTAGGCTGAAATGGGGTAGAAAACTACTTATAAAATAAGTTCAAGGGGTTAATAGGACCTTAGTATATAATAAGTGTGTCTCTGGGATTTTGTGCATAGGTTGAGGGGTACTTTGGCATTATCCCACTTTGAATCAATGAGAACTTTCTTAATTTTGAATACAAAATTAAATTAAACAGTGTACCAGTTTGATGTTAAATCCCCTTTTCTAAATGGTGATTGGAATGAAAAGCTTATGTCTAAAAATTGAAGGTTTATAGTGAATGACAAACAAAATAAGATTTACAGATTAAAAAGACACCCTATAGCTTAAAACAAGCATCGTTGGCGTGATACTTCGGAATAGATTTTTATTTCTAGGAGAGCAGCTTTAAAAGGATCAACAATGAACCTACTCTCTTTCTCTAAATATAGAGAGAGAAAGAGAAGATAAGAATGATTTGCTGGTTGTATGTATTTAGTTGACGATATAATATATATGGGTTTGAGTGATTCTCATCACTAAATTTAAATACTGCATGATGAAGATTTTCTTGATCTTGAGGTGAAACAATGAGTTGAGGGTATATTTCTTTCACACATAAAAATTTAACATATGTTTTGAAAAAGTTCAACATGAAAAATTGTAATATTATTTCTACACCAATGAACATTTATGAGAAGTTGTGTCATGATGATGGTTCTGAAATGAAAAATATTGTTTATTTTAGAAGTTTGATATGTGGTTTGAGATATTTTGACCAAAATAAGTTATTTTAAAAATCAATTTACATAATTAATACGTTTTTAATTTTTTTACAAAAATAGTATAAACGTACTTTATGGTAACATTTTAGGCTTTATTTGATTTAAAAAAAAATTAACGCCGTTAACTTAATAAACGTTACTGACAGTAACGATTTTATGTTAAAACGTGACTTGACCCATCCCTTTCTTTAAATGACGTCACTTTGTTATTAACTTAAAATTGAAAGGCTAAATCTGCTAAGCAATTCTAATTTCCTAAGATATCTAAAAGGCTAAACCCTTTCACCCCTTTCACCCTTTCACTGTAAAAAAATATTGGCAGCCGCCATTGTCACTTTCTAAGCTTTGCATATGTAAAAATTGGCTATCCGAAAGATATCTGAAAGAAATTTTACTTTATCAAGTAATCTAGTTGTTGTTAGAGGTGGAGCACATCTGATCTCAAAATTCGCACAAGCATCTATGAGATATTTGTAGGTTTCATCACTTGAGAGATCCTTGGGTATATTCAAGTTTGCAATCTTCTCCAATTCCTCTACCATATCAATCCGTCTGCAGAAGCAACGCATAAGTATCTTAGTGCCTTGTAAACTAAACCAAAACATGACAAACCAGAAAAGCTCCCAAACCTGAAGGGAGGAGTGAAGTCAATTTCAATTGGGTCACTCTCCAACCCTTTCGCATGATATTGATTATATAGCCACCTGTAAGTTCCTTCACCATCCCTATTCATGTATGGTCAGTAATATAAAATTAGTTCCATTTTCGATCGGTAATTTGTGGACGAAGAGGAGGTGTGAAAGAACAAAAACACAGGAAGACAATGAATGGATTAAAATTTCATTTTGTGGATAAATGGTAGCGGTAGTTTTCCAAATCAATTTTGGGGATTTCTTGTTATATCGAGTTTCACGATAAATTGTGGCTATCAATCTTCTGGAAAGCTTGGAATCAAGTTAATTTCCTGTATTAGAGCCCTGAGGTATGTTTTTTTTCCTTACAAACTAGTAGATGGAATGCTTGAATTTTAGAATTTCTATCTTCTCGTATTTATATCGTTTTGGTTATATAGAATAATCACTTAAGAAATTCTAATCTGCATGTTCTGTTTTTATTTTGAATTCATGCATCTTGTTGATGCAAAGAGAAACAATTTGGTGACAGTACATTACTTTGATTTGGTTGTTATATTTTGGACTAACAATTATATTTAATTTACTTTCATATGGATTTTTCAGTTTAATAGATACGTATATGACTGGTTATAGTGCATATCGATTGGTTGCCGATCCACTTGAACCATCGGTACTAATTCAACAACTTACCCATAGGTCACGGGATATATGGAATGGAAGTGTTAATATGATTTTAAATACGAGGAGCTGTGATGGAAAATTTTGGGACCTCGTAAAGAAATATCCCATTCATCCACGAGTCTTAGAAATGATTGAGTTATCAGGACTATATGGTGTTTATAGATCAAATCGACCTTCTATTGATCGTAGCTTGATCACTTCACTAGTAGAGAGATGGCGTCCCGAGACTCATACATCTCACTTTAGAACGGGTGAGGCGACAATCACCTTGCAAGATGTAGAAGTGTTTTATGGCTTACCTGTGAATGGTGATCCAGTACTTGGTGATGAGTCGATAAGGACCATAGGGGATTGGCAAAATATTTGTCAAAGATTGTTAGGTTTTATTCCACGTCCTCAAGACTTCAATCGTAGTAGCCTCAAGGTAACTACACTTAATGCGCATATGTTCGAGCAACTAAAGTTACCTGACTTGACAACACAAGAAATGATCGATCAAATGGCTAGATGTTACATGTTTTGGATGATTGTTGTTATGATGATGGCAGATACATCCGGCAACTATCTAAAGCTTATGTACCTTCCTATGCTCGAGGATCTCAATGTAGTTAGCTCTTATAGTTGGGGTAGTGCCACCTTAGCGTGCTTGTATCGCTTTCTCTGTAAGGCCTCACAGAGTAACCAAAATGAGATAGCTGGCTTTCTACCACTACTTCAGGCATACTTAATAATTACATCAATTCTTTATAAATATTTCTTCTAGTTTATAATATCATAATTATATATTTATATATTATATTTAGATTTGGGCATGGGAGAGAGTAACCGTCCTCAGACCTCAGGTAATAGCACAAAGGGACATCGAAAATAATTTTCTTGCTTGTTTACCTAGGGGTCCACGTGCTACTAGATGGTTTGCACATTTTAGTTGGACTGGTACCACTAAGCATGTGTTGAAAGTTTTTAGGGATGCACTTGATTCCATGACAGAGGATCAGGTATGATGTTATACTGTTTTTCTTTAAAAAATTATGTATAAATTGTAGTTGAAACTCATGTATTTTTCTTTATGTAGTTTATTTGGGAACCATATTTGGATGACTTAATTGAGAGTCGTCCTGATTATTGTCAAATTGAACGAGACATATGGCGTGTAAGAGCTCCAATTTTTTGTTGGGATATCGTTGAGGTTCACTTGCCTGATCGAGTTATGAGACAATTTGGATTAAAACAAACGATACCAACTCCATTTCTATTTGATGCAACACATTTTCACCATGATCGTAGGGGCAGACGAAATACAAATTGGTACTTGGAGCATGCACAATGGTTGCCTCTTTGGAACCAACGACTTCAATATGTTTGTGATGCTCCGGTCAATCGTGAACCACTTCGATATGATGACCCTTACCTTATTTGGTTTATACGCATTACTCGTCTTGTTATTGGTAATCCTACTCAGCGTCCTCAACAACAAGAAGGTTATGTGCCCAATTCAACGGCATATGAAACAATGGTATGTATTAGATTTAGTGTGTTTGTGATTTATCTTTTGAGTATAATATTGCTTCTTCTCGAAAAATGTTACTTGGAAAATTGTTACCTATGTTTTTTCTTAAAAAATATAAAATAAGTTCTTTAGTTTGATATTTGTTTGAGCATCTGTTAAAAAAAAGAATGAAAAATGTTTGTAAGAAAAAAAATTGATCTTTGTGTAGGTGCGTCATATTCATTCCATGGTTGATAGAGCAAAAGCCCTTGGTGATCAACCATCAATGGAGGATTTATACATATTTCGTGCAATGGTCCGAAATGAAGGAGAAAAGTGCTTGACATATGTGCACGAGGCTGCTAGGATTAATGTACAAGCCGATTATAGAAGAGATGAGGTACATGATGATCATTTACATCATCCGGTTCGTAGGCGAGGAAAAGGTGGTGTTGCCGGTAGGAGGGCTCTTGCTGTTGAGAAAGGACGAGCACCTATTGAAATGGATGAATCAGTCTCCGAAGATGATCACACAACTTGTGATTTTTGTTCCATTTCAAGGGGCCAAACTCAAGAATTCACTCCCGGGGCATCAAGTATGACATATCAACCAACAAATACTGATATTATTCCATACACGGCATCACAAATATTAAGGAATTCTAGTCTTTCATCACTTGAGAATATATTTGGTGGTTCTCGACCTCAACATTTTGAGAATGCCCCCAACTTTAATTCATCACATGGGCTGCCAATGTCCATTAAGACCTTTGGTGTTGTTAATCATTTAGAGGACTCCAACAATGAAGTGGAGAATGCAAACGAATGTGGTGAACCATCGGCGAAGGAGAAGCATAAGATATTTCCTAAGCGTTGTGGGACTGATACTATTAACATCTTTATTTTATTTTTTTGACATAAATGCTCCTCTGTTTAGTCGAACAACTGAAAATTATTCTTGTTTGTCAGGGAGTCAAACACCCTTCTTCTTCAGCATCATCTCAATCTAATGGATATCCTGAAGTTTCTAGTTCAGATGCTTTGCAAAGACAGTTACAACAGTTATTCCATTTACATGATTCTGGTTTGGATCAAACATTTATTGATGCATTGCCTGTCTTTTTGCCTGTCTTCTACAAGGATTAGTTGAAACAGTGATATGTATCATGCTTGTTTAGTTACTCTGCAAGGACTTGTTTCGTTGACTCTCCCCTTCTGCGTTGACACATCGGAAATATAAGCTTCTGGTTTCTTTGCTGAAACCAAGTCTTTCTTTGAATCATCCTCTGAGTCCCTGTTCTTACATTTGTCACGAATCATCTCTGGCATTTTACTGCTTGAACTCCATCTAGACTTTTCAACAACTGGGCAGAAGGTCTGGTTCTCGTCATCGAGTGCATCATCTTGTATAATTTTTTTGGAAGATACATCTGATTCTACCTCACTTGTGTTCCTTGTATTTGCATCCTTCGTACCTGTCAAACATCCCATACAGAAAATAAAGATAAATACCAGAATTTCACGATGGCAGCAAGTTCAAAATGTGACTACTAAAGATGAATACCTCCATCAGAGTGGTTATCATGAGAAATTTTCTTCTCTTTGTTTTTATGTCTCCTCTTCTCTACAACTGAGCTATTTGGAACGCCGGTGTATTGGTTGCAAGTTTAATTAGTTACACCCTCTGCATATATTTGAAGCAGTTGAATTGCTGCTTCTTATATTATAAATAGGCATGCATAATATATAAATATATCGTTTGACTTAATTTTAGCTGATATTTATATTCTTTAACTTTGAGATTCTTGGTGAATGTAACTCATCAAAGTTTTCTTAATCATTTTTTCTTAGGTTGATGCAGCTTGTTGATATTCTGGATAACCCTTGGTGAATAGTAGAGATATTTTGTGAAGAATGAAGCTACTAGTCATTATTTTGTAAAGCAACATGATCTATGAATACATGAATGTTTCAATTATTTTATATTTAGTTTGTGTTTTTCAAGTATTCCATAATGTAACTTCAAGTTTGTGAAAAGTGATAGATAACTTTATGCACTAATAATTGAAATATGAAATTTTGTTCGGGAATCACCAAGGTTGGCAGCTTGGGAATCACCAAGGTTGGCAACAAATATATTTTGAATTATTTGAGTATTAGTAATGTGAGAATTTTTAAGTTAAGTTAGTTTTTCCCTCTAAGATTCTAAGCTTATGTAATAGATAACTTTATGCACTAATAATTGAAAGGAAATTAATATAAATGGAAATTTGGAAATTAACATTAATAATTTTCCTTTATTAGCAATCTGGAAAAATTCACGTTACATTAGATAACATAAAGAAAATTAACACCATTAGACATTGACCCACAATTATTCACTTAAATTTAATAATGGTTGGGACATTGACGCCTATCATGTCCTGTCTGCCTGCATAATCCACAAGCTCGCTCATACACTGTAGAACTACGATCTATTTCATTATTTATTCTAGTTGTCCTTGGCCGATTAGGACGACGATAGAATTCATTACTTGTCATTGTAAAACTTAGAGATGGCCAATATGACTCATGACCAATTGGTGAGAATGACCCAGAATATGTTGCAACATAATTCTCTATTATGAAATGCTCGCTAACAAAATTTCTAGCAAGCCCTCTCATTCTATCAGTTACCTTTATGACATGTGAACACGGGAAGTGCAGATTAACCCATTTTCCACAATCACATTTTCTTTCATTTAGTGAAACACAATGATTACCACCAGTACCATCAACTTGTATAGATCTAACCTCGTATACTCCTGTGGGTATATTCCAATCAAAAACAAAGTGCCTCTTTGAACTTTCATAATTCTTCTCCCACTTTATTTTGAACCTCCCGGTCCATAATTCATTTTGCTCTGCAAGTTGGTGTGCTATTTGATACCTACGGGTATACCGTTCAATAGTTTGCTCCAATGAAAGTCTAATCATAGCAGTGACAGACAAACCTCGTGCTTTTTTCATTACTCCATTGAATGACTCTGAAAGATTTATTGTCAACATTCCCCATCTTTTTCCATCATCATGGCTAACAGTCCATTTATCCAAGGGAATTTCCATGAGGTATGCATATGCTTCGATATTTTCTTCTTTAATTTGCCACATCATGGACTCAAACTTCCTTACTTGATGGGCTGAAGCAGCCCTGCACATCAATCTGCTGAGGTCCTTGTTTGGAAATTTAGATTGAAAGTTACTCTTAAGATGTCTTATGCAAAACCGATGGAAGACTCGAGGCTCTTGAAATCGCCGCAACTCCTGCAAACTAGTCAAGATTCCTTTTGCCCTATCAGATATAACACATACATTTTGTCTACTTTTTATCACATGTGCACTCAAATTTCTAAAACCATTTCCATGCCTCTTTTGATTCTTTGTCTACAATAGCAAACGCTAAAGGGAGAATGTTATCATTCCCATCAATTTCAACAGCAATTAATAATTTGATCTCATATTTTCCATAAATATGAGTTCTATCTACTGAAATAACTGGGCGACATGTTTGGAATCCATCAATGCATGGCTTGAAAGCCCAAAATACAAATTTAAAAGTTTTTACCTCCGATGAACTCATAGACTCTTCATGTTTCCATTCCACAATTGTTCCATGGATAAAGTGTTGAAAAGCTGCAAAAAATTTAGGTAGGTCACTAAATGATTTCTCAAAGTCACCATATACCAATTCAAAAGCGCGTTGACGTCCAAGCCATGCTTTTCTATATGTCACTTGGTGACCAAAATTTTCATGAACCTTTGAAATGACATCTACCACCAAGAACTTAGGATTTTTTCTAATTTGATTTAGAAGTAGTGATGCAATCAAATTGGTATTTAGGTTGGCGTGACCGCTAGAAAGCCCCTCAGTCTCACATCTATGGTTTTCAACATATTTTCCTATCTTCCAAAATTTATCTCTAACTTGTCGTCCTCGAAGAAACCACATGCAACCCAATAAATTATAAAACTTACATCTCACAACCCATAGACTTTTGGTAGATGTTACCACCTTGAACTCCTTATTTTTGTGCAAACTCCAAATCGTTACAGCCATTTTCAACTTTTCTTTACTACTTAAAAGCATACCTTTTTTTTAAATCTTTTTTGCTTGCTCAGACCAAACGGAACAACATTCCATCTCAGATTCACATGTAGACATAAAAATGTCTTCCTCATTCTCTAATGTCCTGAAATAGGGTATGTCATGAGACACACCCTGATCATGATTATGAAGATTTACACCATTTTGAGAAAAATCTCTAATATCATCGATATCTTCATCAGGTTCACTTTCATCACCATCTTTCGGAGGTTCATCTTCCTCCGAACTTTCATCACTAATTTCAGCATTTACATCATTATATAGATCAACGTTGATATCAATATCTCTGTAAAAAAATATTAGTCAAATTCTAGCAAAATTATAAATATACAAGCTTGTTTTAAAAGCGATAATAAATATTCTAAAATATTATTTCTTCTATTTATAAGAGATAATTTGTGTATACTTACAATAAAAATTATCTTATTAAATTGTTAGACTAAAATTTAATAAAATAAAGATTTGTTGTTTACCTAGCCTCATATTCTATGTGACTGTTATCAATATGCATTTGACTACTTGAGCCTTCACCAAATGATCGATGATCATGCATCAACAATTGTTGAAATGATGGTTGAACAATCGGTTCTACAAAATGAGGTTGATTGATCGTGGTAAGGCCATAATTTTGAGCCAACAAATTCATGTGATAACCATGATGACCACTAACTTGAAATGCAACATTTTGTTCTGTCGATACAGTCTTTACATACATCTCCAAAACATTTATATCAATCTTATCCGCAAATTTTTGAGGTATGAAAAGAAATTGTAGCAAAGATTGGTCATTCTCAATTTTAAACTCAATGACCCTTGTATTGTTACCTTGAATCAAACATGGATATTTTCCAGAAATATCCATATGAATATTTTCACTATATGTTCCCATTTTCTCATGTAACAATCCAACCAATTCAACATAGGTAGTTGAAGTCGACATGCTAATAATCGTTCTAGCACATTCAGTATACCTAAATCCGTTCATATCCGTAATTATTTCTCCACCCCAATACAAAGCAACCATCACATTATGTTCAAAGCTCGTCATCTTAATCCTACACATAAAGATAAAATATTTTTTAAAACAATATTATTAAATTAGAAAGATAATTTTAAAGCTATAATAAGAACATAACAAAGGATAAACTTCACTTATTTACTTCATACCTGATGAAATTTTCTGAATATTATTTTTAAAATGGACCACACAAGGAAAAATTTTGCTGAATTATATTTGAACATGAAAAAAAATTACAACAACATTTATTTATAGTCACTTTGGTCAGTTTGAAAAATGGAGGAATATGACTTTAACAGAGTGTTGTAATTGATAGCAACGTTTTTAAGGTAAAACGTTACTGTGAGTAACGTTTTATAGCGAAATATATTCTAAATTTGCAGAAGTCGAAGGCCCGTGATTGGATTCTTAAGAAACGGACTCAAGGTAACATTTTAAGTGTAAAACGTCACTCATAGTAACGTTTTACCGTTGAATGATTTGACTCCGCCTTTGCAGGATTGGAGTCAGTGGCCCGTGATTGGATTCTCCAAAAACGTACTCTTGAGTAACGTTTTACACCTAAAACGTTACTCACAGTTACGTTTATGTGTTTAACGTCGCCAACCCGTTAACTTTTTGTCCGTTGAATTTTTATAATGAAAATATCCTAAAACGTTACCATAAAGTACGTTTATACTAGTTTTGTGAAAAAAGTTAAAAACATATTATTTTGGTGAATTGGTTTTAGAAATAGCTCATTTTGGTCAAAACTTCTGGTTTGAACTACTTGTCTCATACAAAATCAAACATTGATTTCTCTATTAGTGTTGTATGAAGATTTATGCATAATTTTAACAAGCTTCGCCTTGGAGATGCAAATTAAAGAGAATATTGAGATACATCACTAGGACAACAAAACATGAAATTTGATATTCTAAGGTAACAAATTTCACATTAACTGTACTTACTACTAGTGACTATATTGACAACATTGATGATACAAAGAGAACATCTGACTTCTTGTTTGATCTTGGATTTGGAGGAATGAGTTCAAAAAAGTAGCAAGCAGCGACCTTATCAACTTTAGAGGCCTAATATACTGCAAAAATTTTGGCAGCTTGTCTAGCAGTTTGGTAATAGAGACTTGTTGCTGATTTTAATCAGAAACCAAACCAGTTAATGCAACTAAGAGTTTTTTTTTTGTGACAATAGATCTTCTATTGCGATAACAAAGAAGTCAACATTCCACTGTAAAAGAAAGCACATAAATATTCATTATCACTATATTTGAAGTCTTGTTTCTAATGGAGAAATTAATGTGAAGTCTTATGATACAAATGAGAAAACAACATACATCTTTACGAAGTCACTTCCGCAAGCAAAGCATAAATTCTTCCAAGGTTAACTTAGAGCTTTTAGTTTTGAATCAAGGGAGAGTGTTGAAAAGTAATTCAAAAGATACTTGACAAAGTCTAGTTCTCTAAGCTGAAGCCTCTTCTTGTGCAATGTGGCTATCGATAGACTCACAATCATTATTCTCTATTTATCTCCTCCTCACCACAAGAGAGGTTTTTTTATGCAAATCTATTTTGATGATCTCTTAATTATTAGGGATGACGTCGAAGATATTTAAAGCATAAATGTATGTTACAATCTTTGTAGTGATGACTACTTTCTTTACCAATGGACGTATACCAAAGAAAGAACATGGATCACCTAACTGATGTGACCACTATTGTTACACCCAAGGAGTAGAACAATCATTATTCTAAGATTGATGGGAAATATTTCTCAGACCCCCGGCCATTCATGGACTCCTTAGTTTGAAATTTCATGATATTTATATTTTTAATCAATTTATGTTTGATCTTGCCTTTGTTGACTAATTTTACCATTCACTTTTTCTCTCCCACATCCATGTATTGTGACAAAGAAAGTGTTGTAAAGATTGCCACCAATTCCTTTTTAAGGAATGAACCAAACATTTTCCTTTACATCATAATTAATTTATCTCATTTTGAGTCTAATTTATTCGATATCTATGAATTAAAATATATTTACTAAATATTTTACATAGTCATTTAATTTTTATTGTCCAAAACAATCCCTTGTGTAACAATCACCTTATGTAACAATCCATTATTCTAAGGGTGTTTTGGTATAAATTTCAATTTCTCCATGTTTGGTTGACTTAAATATTTTTCAAATCAACATATTTTTCCTCAAAATTTTCCCTTAATTTAGGAAAACATTTTCAAAAACTCCACTTCATTCTTTAATATTTTTTTTTTCTTAAACCTACATTGTACCCCGACTCTCCTCATCAATAAATAAATAAATTAAATTTTTCTTATTTTTGTCATATATTTTACCCTACTCCTAAACACCCCCCCCCCCTCCAACAAACAAAAAAATTAAAAAATAGTAAAAAATATTTCAAATTTTAAGATTATTTTTACCTAACCCAACACCTACTTTCACCCCATCCCATTCCCGTCACCCCTCACCCCCTGTGTCACCCCCATCAATTATTTATTTACAAAAATTATTTTTAAATTTTAATAAAGCATTTTATGCTATCCTTAAGTCCCCTAAATTTTTTTTCTTTAATTTTATTTTTATCAAAATCAAATAATTTAAAGAATTCTTTTTACGCCACACCCAGGCAACCCCCATTTTTTTTAAATATATTTTTAAAAAATATTTCATTTTTTACTTGACTCACCACCTCTAAACCCCTACCAAGCCACCCCGGTAGAATTTTTTTAAAATTTTTTTCTACGTGACCACACACCAAGCCCTCAATTTTTTTTTTAAAAAAAAATTACTTTAAATTTAAAAAATTTCAATCTCTACGCCACCTCAAAAGTCTGGGTGAGATCTCAGGATCAAATTTTGGAATGATTGTCGGATCTAGTCCAAGCTTGGGTGTCAGGATATGACCCTCGATTAATAAAAAATTATTTTCTTACAGAGTATTTCCTTGTCTTAAACGAAAAAATAAAAGACATTTTCTGGAAAATATTTTCTATTCATTAACCAAATATCAGAAAATATTTTCTTTTCACCAACCAAGGATGAAAAAATAAATTTGAAATCCACTTATTTACAAAGAAAACATTTTCCGTTATACCAAACACACCCTAATGTTTTTCATTAGGTAACAAAAGAAAAGGAAATAAAAAAAAATAGATTTGGAATGAGAAGAGTATAAATAAAGTTACAGAAAAGCTAACAGTCTACAACTGAAATAACCAATTGAACTCCATAAATCAAATAAGTTTTTTCCCCTCTTTGGAAGAGAGAAAAAGATGGCGCAATGTCAATGGCAATTGAACTTTCAGAAAGAAATTTCATGGAAATGCAGAGTCTCCATTAACAGAGCCACAAGAATTTGCTGTTTCCCAAAAAGATTGTCCATTGCTGAGTGTTGCAATCGACAATCTATTCCACTTCCATTAACAACAACAACAAGAAGAAGATCAAGGGATAAAGTGAAGTCACAAAAGAGCGATGAGTACGAAACGAATGATTTATGGAAAGTGAGAAGAGTAATTGAGAGTGAAGAAGAAATGATGGAAGTTGCTGCTATTCAAACTGATGCCTTTTATGAACATCGACTTTACTCCAATGATTTCTTCTTTCAATTCTTTAAGGTTCCTTAATTCTCCGAAAAACGCATTCTTGATTTCTTCTTCTTCTTTTTACTAATGAAAATGAGAATTGTGGTGATTATGTAGGTTGAACAATTCTCAAATCTTTATTACAGACTCAAGCATTATGCACCAGACAGGTAAAAAAAAAAAGAATCAAAACTTTTCAATTCTTGATCAATGTTATTCTTGTACTAAAAATTGTTGAGTACATAGGTATGCATGTTTAGTCGCGGAAGCCGTCTCAAGCGATGAGGAAGAATAACATCTTGTAGGAGTCATTGATGCTACAGTGAAAGAAGATAAAGATATCCTTCACTACATTCCATTAGCAACAAAATATATCTATATTTCAGGGGTTGCTGTATTGAACAAATTCAGGTCAAGTAAAATGAATTGATGTTTTCTATAACATGGCGTAAAATACTAATTTTGCTGACAATTGCGCGATATTGATCACAATTGCAGGAGGCAGAAAGTTGCAACTGCTTTGCTTAAGGAATGTGATGTTCTTGCAAGTGTTTGGAGTATTGAATATCTAGTCCTAAAGGCATACGAGGATGATTTTGGTGCTCGAAAATTATATACAAATGCTGGTTATAAACTAGTTTCAGACGATGCTCCATCGAAGACAAAGTGGATTCCTGAAAGAAGACGAGTTCTTATGGTTAAACAAGTCTTACATAAATCAACGACTCAATAGTTTCGGTATGAAATTAGAATTCTGTAAAACTGTATTTGCTGAATCTTGTGATAAATTCAGAGTTACATAGCTAATAACAACTGCGGTTTTCTATCAAATACAGCACACATAAAAAGTGTATTCATATGTTAGAGTTTGATATTGTTGCAGTAACTTGTTTACTGATTAGTGTGGCTAATAATTGCAAAATAGGTGACATAATTTGACACAATCGTCGAAAATGAAAGTCATAAAAAGACACTCTACTGTTAAATTTCATAGTTATTTCCTCCTTTATACAGTGTATTGTTGGTTAAAATAATTGACTATATATACATGATATACAATAAAGTTGTAATGGTAATCCATGTCATATTATAAATAATATATCCGACTAGTTAATTTCAACTATATCCAGTGAATTTTATTAAATTATAAAATTAATGTTGCAATATAACTAGTTAAGATATACTAAACGAATAATGCATAAACATGACTTTTAACTTGACGTCAGTCGATAACTATTACCTTTAATTTTGGGTGTGCACAAGTAGGTACTTAAACTTCTATAAAATTGAGCAAATATACACATTCATCCTACATGACAATTTTGTGTCCTACATGCCAACGTGTATTATGCCATGTAGGGCACTTGCGTCTACTTGTACAATTTTATACAAGTTTACGTGTTTATTTGTGCACATTCAAAGTTGAAGGGCGTAGTTGTTTGTTGAAACCAAGTTAAGGGTCATGTTTATGTATTATGCATATACTAAAAAAACAAGAATTGGCTATCGACAAACAATTTAGGTCTCTAAACAATAAAAAATCGTCACTAATACTATTCAACACATATTATAGAAATTATTGTTTACCTATCTTTTGCAAAGCTCTCCTTTTCTAAGAGTGAGTTAATTGAGATATTTTAATTAGCAACAAAGTAATGACATTTCAAACTATATTTTTTTGTAGTAAATTGCTTGAAATAATAGTCTTTACCCATTCTAGCAATAGTTGTAGTAGGTTGAATAATACTAGAATAAATAGGGAAAAGGATAAAAAAATATCCTTAAACTATTTGAAATAGCTCATATATACCCTTAAACTTTATTTCAATTCAAAACTACCATTTCCGTTATACTATTAGGTCAAAAGTATCCTTCTTATTAACGGAAGTTGTTGAATGCCACATTGCATGCCAATAGGATTCCACTACCACATAGACTAAAAAGAAAGGGTCAAAAATATCCTTAAAATATAAGAAATACCTCATATTTATCCTTAAACTATATTTTGGCTCAAAACTGTCCTTCCCGTCAAACTATTGGTTCAAAAGTATCCTTCTTATCAATAGAATTTGTTAAATGTCATGTGGATGCCACATTGCATGCCAATAAGGTTCCACTGCCACATAGACTAAATCCCTAAATCCTAATTATTCTCCCCCCCCCCCTCATTTCATTATTTCAGAAATGATATATTCACCCGTTCTCCCTCATTTCGCGGCTAGGGTTTCATACTTTTCTTTATGGCTGGATTTCAAAGTGGATATTCATGTTTGTAGGTTAGTAAATATTTCTGTTTATTTTATTATGTTTACCATTTCATGTCATGTACTACGCCTTCAATGGCAATCCTTGTTAACTGTGCTAAAACTATTTTTTTAATCCAACTAGCGGTATTCGGCAAGGATGGCCTTTATATCTTTATACTATGTATGGAAATGTTATCTAACAATATACGCTACCAAGTTGATATAGAATTGTGGACGCCAATTGAGTTAGCCTCTCGTAGCTCTCTACTATATCATCTTTCTTAAATGAGAATAGTAGATTCAACATGGAATCAGTTAATAGGCTCATTAACCCCTATTATAGCCACCACCATACTAAAGACTTACGTTGGATCTGACAGCTTAACACTCTCCCTACAATTAAATTCTTTTTATGGTTGTGTTATCACGATAGATGCAAGATCTGCAATATGTTCATTGAGACCACTAAGCACATCTTTGTAGAGTGCCCTATTGCCCTTACCTTCTGGCAGCAGTTGGGTCTCATCCAATCTAATGTCATGGCAGGTACTGGCTGAGGAAACTGCAGAAATCCAACAATCCAGCATAACTTCAGGGAAGGCAATAGAGTAGCCCATGTTTTGGCAAATCATGCTAAGAACTAGAAATACTAATGAAGTTTGTGTAGTTTTTATAACTCCTACTACTATGGTGACGCACTACCTAGTGGAGGATATAACGTGACACATTACCACTAAACAAGTGTCCGTAGCAACTTGTATTAATCTGGCAAGATTACGGAACACTAATCTATCCAATGTAATAGCTAACTAGGGTTATATACATATAAATTATCTTTTATTACCAAAAAAAAAAAGAAAGAAAAGAAAATGAATATTGTTTGGGATTGATAGTAAATAAACAAAATTGCTTAAAAATTGAATTTGTTAACAACCGATCTTCTCTTGGCAACAATTGATTTGACTAAGAAAATATTTTCTCCGGCAATAAAAAGTTTGCAATATAGAATCAGAAGGACCAAGAAGGTTCCAATAAAATAAAAATGATTAAAACGGAAAAGGACATAAGTACCCTTGAACAGGGATTCAAATTTCTAAGGACAACCCTTTTTTTTTTTTACTATCTACCTGAATTTTTTTAATTTGTCATATTATACAATTAGTTAATACACATAATATATATATATATATATATATTTTTTTCATTGATTTCTCTGTAAAATATTTATTTAACTCTTTACTTTAAAGTTTTTTTTTTAATTTCATTTTTTCCTCTTTCGTTAGTTGCTTCTTATCGTTTCATTTACAAAATAACATGAAAAAAAATAAGCTTATTGTTTATTTATTTGTACAAAAGTAATAAATAAATTTTTAGAAATTGACCTTTATTTTTACTTTATGATGTTCTTATATATTATTTAATTTTCTTCACTCCTTTCGTATCCAACTAGAAATAAATGAAACAAGGTAAAAATAAAGAAATAAAAAATTATTTGTGCTTGGATTTTTTGAACACAAGGCAAATAAAATTCAAAAGTTATGCGTGTTTGAGAAAATTTTAAATACAATACAAGGGAATTTTTGAAGAAATACGGGTATTAACTTAATTAAATACAAGGGAAAGAAATTAAGAAGCTTTTCTTAAAATAATAATATTACCCCCCCCCCCTCTGTCCCTTTTCTCTAAAAAAAAATAAATTAAGGGCCCGTTTGGATGGGTTTAATAAAAGCAGCTTTAAAAAAGTACTGAAACTTATTTTTAAAATAAGCAGTTATGCGTTTGGATAAAAGTGCTGAAGTTGTTATGTCAAACGTGAAAAGGGAAAAATGGAAAAA